AAAATGTAAAGATTTACGTTTTCTTCTTTCAGAATATGGTGGACGAATACATCAACTGGAACGAGGATATCGGAGAATGGCAGCTGAAATGTGTGGCATATACTGGGAACAATATGCGGAAACTTTCCGTTGGCGATTCACCGGAAAAGAATAGAAGCAAGAACGCTGGTGTTCGTGTTGATTTTTTTAGAATTTTATCCCTAAACAAGATCGCTTGATGACCTGCAGTTGTATTTATTTTTACAACTTAAAACGCTTATCGTGTGAACTTTTCGAGAATTTTAATTCTAAACCATGACCGACAAAATGTTGATGACTTTGTACGCCTCAGATGCGATTCAGATGCAATTTGATGATGCAAGTATTTGTTTGTCCCCTTCAAAAAATTACGGAGAAGTTCATGGCCAGGAACTTGGGGAAAAAATCGAAAAGGAACTGCCGAACATTTCTTTTTTATAGATGAACAGTAGAATCGTTAGGTTTTGGAGTCATGTCCTGTTCAAATCAGAGGAAGAGACGCATAGAAAGTCAAAGAGAAGAAATCTACGATGAGACTCAGTTTTATCACGACTGTATAAAACGGCTCTTGGTACTTTTTTTTTAATGTATTTTTTTTTTTTTAGAGTGAACCGAAGTGGTTGGGAAAAACTTGTTCTAGTACTCGTGTGAACCAACGAGAATGTTAAGTCCTTCAGATAACTCAAGCATCGTAGTTATCTTCTAGTTTCCCATGTTTCACGAAAAAATGTAAAAAATTTTTCAGAGCCTTTGAAGTAAATTTCGTCATGCTTTTGAGTCGGAATCCTCCAAAAAATTGCGTCAATAACAAGGCGTAAAGAAATAATCTCGAGAATTATTTTCTCACCTGTATCTTTTCACTTGGGCAAGATCTCGCGTACCAATTGAAAATCTAGATTCAGCGTCACCAAAACTAAGAACATTTTTTTCACTTGGTCAAGTGTGCTTTAATAATGTCGCAGAGAGAATTTTGAACCAGCCCTTGAATATTCGTCCTTTTCTTTTGCGATCACAGTGGGACCCCGAGATGCGGACATCATTGGTGCTTGTACCTTGTCCCTATGTCGATTCACGTTTTCCTGTAGACTTCAATGGGAACACATTTAATTGGTTCACCGCTTCATAAAAAATTCGTAATACGCTCCCCGAAACATTAAATACAATTTTTTCTCAGCTTGAAGATGCAGAAAATGAATGTAAAGAAGAAAACCAGACAGAATGTGATCTTTTATCTGATTTTTTTAATATTTGTGAATATAAATACAGTAGCTCAATTTCTTTCAGAAATATTGAAATAACATTTTTCAATCGTTACGTACATTTAGGAAAAGTGTCCATATCTAGAGCCACTGTCCAGATGTCGGGGGCGGATTTTTCTTTTTTTCATTTTCAAGTGTCCCTAAGTCGACTCGTCCGTATTTTGGGGTCCCGCTATTCCTCGGAAGTAATTGTAATTTTCCTTCGTATCATTGTGTATTTATGTTTTCAGGCTGCAGCCGGAGAAACGAATCTGACCCACATGTATATTTCATACGCCGAAGACGGGTTGAGAGTCCCATTTAATCCAGACCGAAAGCAAAGACAAGACCGACCGAAGACGGCCGCCGGGAAACGACTGCTCAACTGACGAGTTCCGCCCATGAACGAAATGCCTTGATCTCACTGAATTAGTTTTTTTTTTCGTTCCTAGTCATGAATGTGATACACTCTGCGAGAACTACTGTGACTTTGGTTTTTAAATGGATTTCGTCTTCAGTTCGTGTGTCGCTTTAAGATTCAATTTTTTTTTTTCATTGAAAGCTAGTGTCATGATAACCATCGTTGGGATTCATTTTTTTTTTTTTGATTCTGGTAGGACTTGAATTGAATGGTGTCTTTGACAAAGTGAAATGATTCTCCGCAGAGCAAAAGACTCGCAAAAAAAAAATTGCAATTGCGAAATGTATCGGGAGGAAAAGTTACTCAAATGACGAAATTGTTCGACTTTGTCATGGACAAAGTAAAATGAGTTTCCGCAGAACAAAAGATTCACAATAGTAAATTTTGGCATTGCGATATTTTTCAAGGGGCGAAAATGTGACTCAAATAACGAAATTGTTGAACGTGACACATTTTTTTGGGAGGGGAGGGGGAAACGCTGGGAGGGGAAAACGCTGAAATTTTTTAGATAAAACTTAGAATTTTTTCAAAAGTGTTAATGGAAAAGGACATTAACTGTTGAGTTTTGCCTCATTTTTGTCTTCAAGTTATGTTAGATTCAGAAAGTCAAGTGCACGAACTTGCAAAGATTACCGTACTTGATTTAAAACGCATCAATTACAATTTCAAAACTTTATTCTCAACACTAATTAAATTACACAATTACGCTAGACTAGCGTTTTAATTTTTTTACAGTATACTGCATTAAAACCCTTTCGAAAATGATCTTGGTGACTCATTCCGTCAGGAACATTTCTTGATGAGCTCGCTGAGCTTTTCGATTGAACGTACTTTTGAGAATTCCCATGCGTTGGTTATCTTGACATTCCATTGATTGATTTTTGAATTCATTTGTATTTTGAGAAGTGGTGCAATTTAATAATGTCTTGCGATTTACGATCAGGGTTTGTGCCGTGCGACTAAATCATGGGTCTGTGCAAGTGCCCGAAAAGAAAGGTGACGAACCAGTTCTGCTACGAGCATCGCGTCAACGTCTGCGAATACTGCATGGTTACGAACCATCC